GTGATGGTGGTATGTATGACCTTTGAATAGGAAACAATCTTTTGATGTGTAGTACCACCTTCCCATGCTGTTGACTCAGTTCCCAGAAATTGGCTTTGCTGAGCTGGCCGGCACACCCTCACCTGGCCATACTTAGCAATAGCAGATGGTCTGAGGTTATTTTGTGGACACCAAGGTATACCAGATATCCTGTGAGCATTTTAGACAGAAAGCCCACCTGTGGTCTTTAAGGAACTTGAACCCTGGCCAAAACTTCTAGCCAGAGAAAGATTCAGATATCATTCTCTGGAAGATGTGGACACTGGCTGGGCCCACCACTGAATGTACTTCCTGATAACAGTGTGGGGTTGCTATGAGTCGGAATTGACTCAACAGCACTTAACAACAGCCACCAGGGTATAGGAGCGGAACAGGGACAAGATGAAGGCTTACCAAGAATGATGCCATTGGGGGCGGCGGGGGGCTGCCAGATGAGCCGCACTGATGTGGTCCTCACCTCAGGGAATAGGATACCCATGGGTGGTCCCGGCACTAGGGGGACAAAGAAGGGGTGGACAGTGAGGCTGCTTCCCGCCCCTGCCCCAGTCTGGTTGTCAAAGGGCAGGAGTGAGACCACCCAGCTCAGTGGGCTTGTGCTGAGTGCCGCTATGGTTTCACACCAAGCTAGGAGCTAGGCCATGATGACAGATTCAGGGAGGTTTCTACCCACAACCCATCAGTGGTAGCAACTAGAAGGGACCCAAGAGTCCTGCTTCCTCATACGTGTTAGGCAAGAAGGTCCTGCCCTGGCCTAGGATCTGACTTCCTCCCATCATGCCTGCGTCCCTTCCCATAGGGTAAGGTGTCTGTCTATGAGGCAAGGGGACAGACTCACCCTGAACCTACCACCTCACCCTACTAACCTGACCCTGGAATTCCGGAAATCTGGAATTCTCTGCTTCCCTCCAAAAGCAAACCCGGGGCAGTACAGTTGGATTTGCCTCCTAGTGACCCTTCAGGACAGAGATGAACTTCCTCACAGGGTTTGCAAGGCTGCCATCTATACAGAAGCAGATCGCTGTATCTTTCTCCCCCAGAGCAACTGATGGGTTTGATCTTCTAATCAGCAGTGGAGTGCTTAACCACTGTGCCACCAGAGCAGTCCCAAACCTACTTCCAGGGTCTACGTGAGCCTTTTCCTCAGACTCATCCTCACTTGGTGAACTGTGCTGTTGGTGTGTGCACCCTTGGATCGGGCTGTTTTTGGGGTGTGGATGGAGATTGAACAGTGTGGGACAAAGGGGGTGGGGAGGGTGGGAAGAGAATGGGCAGGGCTTGCCATATTCCAGCTCAGAATACCAAGAGGTCTGAAAATTCTAAATCTGAACTTGGTTTTCCAGGTCCTTGTGTATTTATCAAGGCAGAAGGATAGAACATATTTAATTTAACAGTTCATTAGCTTGATTTATAACTTTTAAATGCACAGACATATGGTGTATGGGTTTCCTTTGGCACTATTGCTTGGACCCTGCAAATATTTGTGGTGGGCAGCATGTGGGTATGTGTATGGGGAGAAGTGGAGTGTGTGTGCAAGCACACAGATTCTGCTGCAGGCATGAGCGCTTGGCTTCTCTATTATGCAAGGAGGACCACAGAACTCTGCACCCAGGAAGAATCAAGCCTTCCTTCTTTGTAGACCTTTACTCAAAGCAACTCTGCCCCAAGCAGAGGAGAAATCAAAACAGATACCAAGTTCCTATTCCAAACATGTGTCCAGGAGAAAGCAAGAGACGGAGTTGGATGTCAAATGGTCCTGTGTTCTCACTCCTTCATGAGCATCCTTTGCAGTGGGGGTTGGGACCACTGGGGGTGGGAGCACAGATGGTTAAGCACTCAGCTATAAACGGGAAGGTTGGCAGTTGAAACCCACCCAGAGGTGCCTTGGAAGAAAGACCTGGTGATCTGCTTCTGAAAGGACCTAGCCATGAAAAACAGTTCTACTCCGCACACAAGTTGGAATCGGCTCAGCCACTGGTTGGTTCCTGGTTGCAGTGGGGTCAGTGCCCTTAGTGACGACCCTGAGAGTCCCCACGCTGGCAAGACTCAGACTCACCATCGTCCAGTGTCCTCTCCAGGATGGGTGGACGGCTGGGGCTGCCGTCGCCGATGCGCGTGAAGGCCAGCACCTGGATCTCGTAGAGCACGTATTTGCCCAAGCCCATGAGCTGGGCGCTGCGTGAAGAATTCCCTTCCACCAGCCAGAATCGGGGCTGCGCATCTGCATCCTTCTCCTTATACACCACCTACCAGAGCCCAGGTAGGGGGAGGTGGGTGAGGGCCTACAGCCTTCCCCACAGTGCCTCTCCTGAGTCCCATCCTCAGGAGCATGGGGGGAAGACTGGGGCTTTTATTTATTTTTGGTTAAAATCTTCACAAGAAAACATACACTGTGTCAATATTTCTCTATGTACGATTTGGCGACGCTGGTTACATTCCTCAAGTTGTGCCACCGTCCTTGGCAGACAACCTTTTCCAGACCCAAAACTTCTGATCTAACCTTTCAACTTGCTGTTGTCAATGGGATCACACACCAGTAATTCTTTCCAGATCATTCTTCCCACAGACATTCTTTTCTAGGTAGGCAAGACTATTGTTTGGTTCAAAAGTGACTTCAGGGGATAGTTTTGGTTCAAGGTTTAAAGAGTTCCTCAAGGGAGTAGTTTGTTTGTTTGTTTGTTTGTTTTGTTTTTGAGGGATCTTGTGGCCTCCAATGATCCAGAACCGATTTGGGCTCTTTGGAGTGACTCAGGCCCAAGGAGAAGGTGGGGTCTTTGCAAAGCTAGTGCTCCACAAGGCTGGAGACACAGGACGGGCTCAGAGTCAGGGTTGGAAGGTTCCTTGGAGAGTATCAAGGTGGGAAACAGGCCCAGGACTCTGCAAATATTTGTGGTGGGCAGCATGTGGGGGTGTGGGGGTGAGCTGTGCCAAAGTTCACACAGAGCAAACATTAACCCATGTCCCTCAGTCTCCAGGAAGGGCTAGACCTGGAATGTAAGCAGAGCTTTGAGGAGATATTAGAGACAGAGACTGGGCTGTCAGAGCTGAGCGTGAGGGAGGCTTGGAGCAGGAGGAGGAGAAGCCTCCAGACCTGGACGTCTCCCCACCCCTAGGGAAGAATAGCATGGAGTTTCCCTGGCATGGAGACCAATAGACCAGAGCCCTCAGTGTCCACTGCAGGAGGCAGAGGCCTGGGTCCCAGCGGGTCACATGACACAGTCATTCCGATAGAGAGGCTGGGGTGGCGCAGGTTCCAGCCTCCTCCTCCCATTTAGAGACTCACCTTGTAGCCCAGCACAAGCCCGTTTCGATCGGCCTCGGGGATCTCATTCCAGCGCACCAGCATGCTGCTGGAGGTGGTGGCCAGAGCGGACACGTTGGTGGGGCCAGAGGACGGGACTGTGGGAGGGAAGAGGAGGAAGTCAGTGCTCCCAGTGGACCCTCCGGTGGAGGGGAGGTGGAGCAGGACCCTGCCCGCTCTTGGAGGAAACTTTCAAGGATCCCCAATGGAACGTTGCAGACGCTGTTTCTGGTTTCAGATCCCCCTTCCCAATTTTCCACCCTTCGGGCTAACCTGAACTTGTGCTTGCTTTTCCTGCGCTCACAGCAGCTACTGGGGTGGACCAGGCTGATGTTTAAAAACGCGCGAGGAGAAAGTCACATGGGACTGGGGACTGGGAGCTTACCCCTATGAGCTAATGAGTCGTTTCTAGAAAGCTCTGAGAGGGATCCCTCCCCTGATGTCCCATCTCAAACTTTCAAACACCCTGGGCCATCTTGGTGAAAGCTGAGGGCAGAGGCGGCCAGCGGTCCTGCCGAGGTGGGCGTGCTGGGGAAGGAGCAGGGGGTGGGGACTCGCAGCGGAGCGCTCTGCCATGACGCTGCACACAAACAGGAACCTAACATCTCCAGTCTTTTGTGCCCTTGGATGGCCCGGGTGGCAGAGCCTTGAGGAGTCGCAGGGGCTGACCTGACTCCCGGGTCCTGCCCACCACCGTCTGGCTCCAGGGCCCGCTCCCCATGCCGTTGAAGGCCTGGACCTGGACGCGGTATTCGGTCCACTCCTCTAGGTCCTCGATGGTGTACTCGCGCTCCACGCGGTCATGGACCACATGGCTCAGCGTCTTGCCACGGCCGTCGAGCCGGCTGTACTTGATCTTGTAGCCCACTGACTCGGGGTTCCCGTTGTACTCCATCTCGGGGAGGGGCTGCAGCAAGGAGGGGTGGGAGGCTGCCGTGAGGCCAGATCCTCCCTCGATGAAAAGAACTGCCCTCCCCTTCCAGGAAACCTGTCTGACCCTCAGCACCCCCGTGAGGTCAGCTCACCCAAGGTGTGGGTTAGATTGTGTATTTGTGTTTCTGTGGCGGCAGCCTGGCAGCCTGTCTCTGCTCAGACCCCTGAATATGAGGGGGCTTCAAAAAGTTTGTGGAAAAATTCCATTCTCTCTTAATTCCACTTTCGCCCCACTTTCTGAAGCCTCTTGTATTCATTTTCTTTTTTCTATTCTTTATTGTGGAGTCTCTTAGTGGTACAAATACTTAAATACTCAACTACTAGTCCAAACCCACCCAGGGGCACCTCAGGAAGATGACCTGGTGATCTTGGAAACCCTCTGCACACATGGGGTAGGAATTGACTCAATGGTAGAGCTAACAACAAGTTTCATTATTGTACCTGTGACCGGCTGGAAGGTCCACAAGGCTGGCTGTCCATCACAGCCACTGTACCCCCAGCTCCCGTGGCCACACTGCTCATGCCCTTTAACCCCTGGAGAAGTGAGCAAGGGGCAAGGGATGTGGCAGTAGCCACGGTCAGGAAGTCCTTCCTTCCAGCAGGCCAGAGTCTCTCTTGCTGCATTTCAGCAAAGAGAAAACCCAGATCCCTTTCCTGATCCTAGGTTGATGGGACTGTGGCCACTGGTTCAAGGTCATTCCAATGAATTTGGGTAGTGCTGATAAGCAGTGGGAGGTGGGCACGTTGGTGGCAGTCTGTGATCAGAACCAGATTGTGAGCCAAGAGATTGGCCTTTAAGACCCATCTCTGAAGGTGGCAGAGCTGAAGCTGGGACATCCTCAGCCCTGACCTCATTCTCAGCCTTGATTCTGCCTCTGTGCTTCCCATACCATGACCCGCTTTCCCTTGTTCCTGCCCTGTAGCCCTCGCCTCACCAGCTCACTGCCAGGCCTGGATCCCACAGACACTTAGTGAAATGGACCAGACACCATTAAGGCAGCGATCGATGGCCTGGGAGATGGAGCTGGATGGGGAGGCACACTCTGTACCTGCCAAGGAAAGGTAACGGACCATGTGCCATTAGCTGAGCTGAGTGGTGCCTGGGGCCTTGCGAAGCAGTTATTGCCTTTTTTATGCCCCCCAGCACCTCCCCCATCCGTCTCTGGCTCATTCACCTTCAGTACATGGAACGCTTAAAGTGAGATGGCATGGGGCGGCCTGGGTGGAGTGGAGGCAGAGAGGTGAGGGTACTGGTCTTAGGGGTCTGTATATGTGCTGGACTGTCTGGGATCCCTAGAGCTTCCTGGCTGGGCCAGCCCTGGAAGGGAGTTATAATAACCCGTGACGTTTATCCAGGGCTGACCATGCCAACTACATCCTTAACCATGGAGCCCTTTCAACAGAGCCTTGGTGGTGCAATGGTTAAGCATTCTGCTGCTAACTGAAAAGCTGAAAAGCTGACAGTCCAAATCCACTAGTTGCTTCTGGGGCCATCTGTTCCTCTGAAGACTGCTCTTGTTACGTAGCTGTCAATATGACTCATAGAGACCCCATGAAATAAAACCGAATTATCCCGTAGGATCTCCGAGACTGTCATTTTTAGGGAAACAGATCACCAAGTCCCTCTGAGCTGCTGGTGGGTTCGAACTGCCAACCTTTTGGTTAGCAAAGGAGTGCTTAACCACATGCTTCCTAGGGAACCTGGGGCAGTTCTCCTCTGCACCAATAGAGGGCGCCACTAACAAGCGTCACAAGAATGTAGTTACAGGCATGGAACTGTGTTTTGTGGAGTTTCTAAGACCACACATCCTGTGGTCAGATGGGCCAGGTGCTACTGAGTTACTTGGATTCTTTCCTGAGCCAGTGTGTGGGGTCTGTCTTCTCCAAGCCCTTCTTGTGGTATCTCTTTTGTGGGATCCCATGGAGGACAAGTTCTGGGGAGAAATGGGCTCTTCTGATCCTCAAAAGACCAGAGGGCAATGTGGCCAAGCTGTATGGAGGGTGATTGCACCCCTCCCTCTCTATAACGGATTTGCCAGGAGAGAGCGCCCTCATGAATGCCTGCTATTACTACTGCATGCAGCACACAACAACAACAACAACATTACTTCAGGCAAGTCCTGGTGTGGTGCTACGAGTTAATGCGCTGGACTGCAATGTAGGTTTGAACCACAAGGTTGGTGGTTCAAGCTCACCAGCCGCTCCTCAGAAACTCTATACAGGGTCGCTAGGAGTCGAAATCGACTCTCGGCACTGAACAACAAATTACTGCATGTAAAATGAGCTGGGAATAGTGACCCAGACATGCCTCCCAGATGTGCTGGGACAGGGGTCTGAAAGTCTAATGCCCCACCCTCGCATCCCCTTTTGATATCTTTACACGAACCCAGAAGCAACCCTGCCTTCTCTGACAGAACAAATTTCATCTGCACTCCGGACCCACCACTTGGGAACTGTGTAGTAACAGGCAAGTTTCCAACGTCTCTGAGTCTCAGTTTTCTAAGTTGCAAATTAAGAGAATAGCATGTTAAGTATCATTGAGTCAGTTCCTACTCATAGTGACTATGTTTAGGGTTTCTGAGGAGTGGCTGGTGGGTTTGAACCACCGACCTTGTGCTTATTCTACAGACCAGTGCTTATTCTACAACACCACACCAGCCGGGGCCTGGGGGCTAGATGAGGGTGGGAAGGGGTTGCAAATGTTAAACGGTTGATGACTAACTGAAAGATTGGCAGTTTGAATCCATTCAGAGAAGCTTCAGAAGAAAGGCCTGGTGATCGGCTTTGGACGGGTCACAGTTATAGAGCGGAGTCTGCACATATGGGATCAATTAAAGAGCAACTGGTTTGGTCTGGTTTATTGCAGCATTACTAGGGTTGAGCTGCCAACCTCAGGGTCAATGGTTCAAACCCTTCAGCCGCAATGCAGGAGAAAGATGAGGTTGCTCTCATAAGGATTTAGAGCCTTGGGAACCCTAAGGAGCAGTTTTCCTAGGTCGTATGGGGTCACTATGATTTGGAATTAGTTCAGTAGCAGTAGGTGCTGGGGGTGGGAGGTGAGAAAACAAATACAAAATGCCTGGCACTTGGTAATCTCAATAGAAAATGCTTTGTACTTCTCCCTTTCACGTGGGCGATTGAGTCGTCTGGCGAATACATGATCAGATGCCTGGCCAGGAAAGAAAAGGAGTCGCAGGTATTTTGGGGACGCTCCCTTTGATGCTCCTCTGCAGATGATGACGGGGTCTTACCACCTCCCTCCCATGCCTCCGAGGGGGCCTCACCATCCAGCGGAGCCATAGGCTGGTCTCGCTGGCTGTGCGCAGGGTCACGTTGATGGGGGCCATATCGGGGGGTGCTTGGAGGGTCTGGATCTTCCGAGAAGGCTGGCTGGGTGGGCTAGTGCCCACGATGTTCACCTGGCGCATACGGAAGCTGGGGTGGGAGGAAGGGGTGAGCAAGATGGGGAGGTGGGAGCCCATAGGGGAGAGTGGGAGGTCCTGCTCAGTCCCTGGCCATGCTCCCCCCTCCCGTCCTACCCCCGTTACCTGTAGTAGGTGAAGGGGTTGAGGTCGGGCACCTGCATGGAGCGGGCGTCTGGCTCATTGGGGAGCTGGTGGATTACCTGCCATTCCTCTTCCTCCCCGACCACGCCCACCTGGAAAAGCCAGGGACCCTTAGACCTTTGAGGTCATGGCTGGGCTGGGCTGGGGTTCAAACCCCAGGGCTCACCGAGAGAACCCCAAGGGGATCCCCCATCTCCCCAGGCTCTTTCAATGTGACCCTGAGGCTACCTGCCTTGGAACCTCATGGAGTGCTTGCTGGTGGGAAACACATCCCTGGGCCCTACCTTGGACTTTCTAGCCAGAATCTCAGCGGGGGCGGGGGGAGGAAAGCACCCAGGAAGCTGCATTTTTAACTAGTTGCCCAGGTGGGTCTCCTAAACACCCCTCAGGTCAGTTAAATCAGAACCAGAACCAGACAGTGGAACTTCAGAACTCTCTCCCTGATAATTCCAGGGGCAGACCCGCCTGGGGGCCACTGGTTTACCAGATGCCAGCGAGCACTGATGGGTATTCCAGACCAGCTAGCTACTTCACTTCTCTTGTCTCCGGAGGGAATGTGTGTGTTCAGGTGAGGTGGAGGAGGTAGAAGTGGACGGAGACGTGGGTAGTACTGGGGACTGTGAGTTTGCCATGCTGACCCCCCCGGTGGGTATGTGTGAAAATCGTAAATGCACAAATGGTTGTGCATGCAAGTGCAGACCAGGCTCAGGGCTGAGGAGCAGTTGAGGGCTGGGTTCAGGGCCCCTCCGGTGGTCTCACCTGACCCTCCACTAGCCAACGGGAGATGGAGGTCTTCCCATCATAGCCTGGTCTGAACTGCAGGGTCACAGAACGGGGGCCGATGTTGGAAATGCCCAGGTTGGAGGGGGCCCCAGGGAGCTCTGGAAAGGAAAACACACAAGAAGGGTGAAGGACATTCTTAAACATCAGCAGACCTTCCTGGGCAGGGGGCCGGGTGTCAGCCTCAGTTCCTTCTGGAAACTTCCTAGGAAGAGCATGGCCAAGTGAAATCCCAGCAACGAAGGCTTTGTTGCCTGTGTTGTATGTCACACTGTGTTCATGCCCGGAGCCCGAGACAGACTGAAGGCTGGGAAGACCCACCCCCGGGGCCGAGGGGAGGCTGGGCACATTTGGGGCTTCCTCTCATGGTGGTTCCGGACCTTAGGGAGGTGTTCCAGGAGACAGCTACCAGGGTTTAGAAGGAAACCAAGCAGAATCAGTCCTGCAGCCCACCTTACTGGCCAACAGTGGCTGAGGGAAGCTGGGAGGAGGGGCTGAGGATGAACAGGGGAAGTGTGGATTCCGGAGCCAGACTGTCTCCAGGCTGTGTGTCTTGGGGGAAGTGACCTAACCTCTCTGTGCCTCAGAGTCAGCCTCCACCAAATGGAGATGATACCAATGATATCAATCAGGGTATCATCAATATCTCAGGGTTGTTGTGAGGAAGAGTTGATGGAGCTCTGAGCTCTGTGCCTGGTGAGCAGGACATAAATACTGGCCAGTAATACTGTTATTGGTGTCTTTGTTGTGGCGCTGTGGGTTAATGCGCTGGACCGCAAAGTCGGTTTGAACTGCAAGGTCGGCAGTTCAAGCTCACCGTCGGAGCCGACTCCACAACACTTAACAACAACAACAATCTGTTACCATCACTCAGGTTGACCGCAGCCCCGTTGCCATGGGCAGGCAGGTGGAGGGATCCTGGCCAGGTCACACAAGCAGAGCCTCAGTGATGTGGACACATGGAAGCTGAGGGCCACAGAGCTTGGCAGCAACAGAGTACAGACCAGACCTCAGCTTGCTCCTAAAGTCAAGTGTAAGATGATTTCCACCTCGACTTGCCATCTCCCCCAGCCAACACTGACGCTGACTGGAACCTACCTTGGATTTTCTGGGGGACAGTGAGAATTCCAATCCCTGATGTGTACTTTTTGGAGAGGCGTCTCTACCCAGAGGGCTGCAGTCACTACAACTCTGGCCTGCTCTTGACAGAAAAGGGGCCCCTTCAATGGGATCGTAGCTGGGAGAGCAACCAGGAACCACGTGCCTTACCCTTAGACTGGGCACCTACCTGGAGGCACCCCGGAGGAGATGGTGGAGGCAGACACCTGACCCTGGCCCTTGGAGGTCATGGCGGCCACCTCGATGGTGTAGGTGGTCAGCGCGGTGAGGCCGGTGACCCGGTACTCCAGTGTCACGTTGGGCAGGTAGTGGGTCACACGGGTGTTGGTGCGGTTATATTCCTCCCAGGAGATGCGGTATCCTGGGGGAAAACACATCCCAACCTGATGCCGTCGAGTCAGAGCAGAACCGGACACCACAGGACTTTCCTGAATTTTCACCAGGCCTTTCTTTCGGGAAGTTTCTGGGTGGATTCGAACTGGCAACCCGAGAGTCCCCCCTAGTGGTGATGTGAGCTGAACAGGCCCTCTCTGGGCTACTGCTTAAGCTCCTTCAGTCTCCACTAGTTGGCAGTGAGGTGTGTGCAGGGAGAAACGGGGCCGAGGGAGGTGGGAGCTACGGGTAGCATGCCTGGACATTCGGTGTGGCCTCAGTGGATGCCACCGTGGGAAGAGTGAGCCAGCAGCCACGGTGGTTATGTGAGGCTGTGCTTGAGAATCTGGGACCAGAGACTCTGGGGTGTGATAGGGAGCCGGGGTACTGAGAGTCTTCTCCAGGTGGTCTCTAAGACCGAGAGGCCGGCTGGGAGGGTGTGGATGGAAGCTGGCTGGAAGGCAGGTGAGTGGACTAGATGACCCCCCAGGCCCCTGCTCCACCCTCATGCCCATTAACCCTGGGAACCTACCTGTGAGTATGCCATTCTTCTCCCCCGGCTCTTGCCAGCTGACCTTCAGCGAGGTGTCAAGGATCTCATTGAAGCTCAGGTGTCCCACAGGCCCAGGTACTGCACCCCAAAAGAGTCCCCACCCCACCCAATGCCAATTAGATCCAGAGCGAGACCACCAGAAGCCAGGCAGCCTGCAAGGCCCCAGGGGATGTCATGCCATGAGCTGGGGGTGGGGGTAGAAGAGACAGGACCGCCCTCTGTCCAGGCACTCGGCCTGGCCCTGGGTGGGTGTGGGGTGCAAGGGGGGTGCCTACCATCCTCATGGGTGCGCACCAGCTGGGGGGTGCTGCGAGGCCCGTCTCCGGGGGTGGTGAAGCACAGCACAGAGGTGAAGTACTCCGTAAACTTCTTCAGGCCCGGCACGAAGCCCACGTGGATGCTGTCTTGAAAGTTGGGCCTTGCGGTCACCATGGTAACCTCCTCTTCCTGCTGGGGCTCCCAGGCAATAAGCTGGGGAGAGACCAGCCATCAGGCAGGGCCGTGAGCATAATATTCCAGAAGTGGGCATGCCCTTGGATCACCAGCTGGACCCATGGACAAAGACAGACTGTCCAGACACACAGAACCCTGTGATCCCTCCCACAGGCTGTTGGGAGGTCACGTGGCCGTGCCGATATTAACTGAGCGGCGGCTTGCGGGGTGCAAGGCCGGCTCTAGGTGCTCTGCTTGCGGCATCTCTCCCCCAACCCTTACACGGGCCCCAGCAAGGAGGTAGTGCCCTGCGTGACTGAAGTGCAGGAACTTAGTGCAAACTGGAATTGGGGACCCTTGTTCAAAAGCGATTCAGAATTTCGAGAGGGCAAGAGCAGCGTATTAAAGCAAGCCGAGCAAGGCCTTTCTGAGCAGCGCCCCTTGGTGGCCGCACAGTCTGCACTGGGTGGAGCTGGCTCTTCGTCCTCAGGGTGACGCTCAGAGAAGTCGAGTGACTCACACACCATCATCACACAGCTAGTGGAGAGCTGAGATTCTGAGGCACATACCACCGATTCCTGGGCTCTGATATTTCTCCATGTGAACTGGGGTGACCCAGGGGTCCTCCTGACAGAGCTGAGGATTTTAGTTTTGGGGTTGTCATTGCTACAAGCTGCTGTCTAGTCAGCCCCTGAGTCATAAACAATGAAAATCAACTTTGCCTAGTCGTGCACCATTCCATGATTCATGTTCGGTTTTGGATTGGACTCTTGCAATCCACTGACTGATTCTCAGGAGAAGACGGCCAGGACTTTCTTCCTAGTCTGTCTTAGTCTGGAAGGTCCATTGAAACTTGTTCAGCACCCTAGTAACACACACACCTCCACGGATAGACAGCTGGTGGCTATACTTGAGCATTAGCTGGGAATCAAACCTGGGTTTCCCACATGAGAGGTGAGAATTCTATCCCTGAACCACCATGGCCCTCAATCTGTGGGTAACCCCTCATCTTTTTTTAAAAAATAAGTTGTCTCAAGTTGGGATTTGAATTTTAAATATCACCTGGCGGGTAATTCTCAGTAAGACCCACATGGAAATGAGTGAATTGCCACCTTTTCTCTCACCTCCTCTCTGCTGTGTTGTTAGATGCTGCCGAATTGAGTTCTATGTACAACAGAAGGAAACGTTGTCTGGTCCTATGTGACCCTATTGCTGTGCCAACCCATCTCCTTGAGGGGTTTCCTCTTTTTTTACAGACCCCCTATTTGACCTAAGAGTCCTGGTGTGACGCTGTGTGTTAATGTGCTAGACTGCGAATTTGTTTGAACCTCAAGGTCGGCGGTTCAAGCTCACCAGCCTCTCTTTGGAGACAGGGTCGCTATGGGTCGGAACCGACTCGACGGCACCCAACAACAACTACTTTACCTAGCATGAGGTTCTTTTCCAGGGACCGCTGCTTCCTGACACCATGTCCAAAGTAGCAAGACTGAGTTTTGTATCCTTACAATGTTGTATCCTTACTTTGTCCTTAGGTGGATTTGAACCGCTGACCTTGTGGTTCAAACTGACCTTATGGTCCGGTGCTCATCCTACAGCGCCATACTGGGACTCCATCCTCACTATACAAACATGTATTTGCTACCCAAGTCTCCTGCTTCCCCTCCCTCCTCTTGCCATCTGCTGTCCCACCTTAGTCTTATGTTTTCTAGAGTCTTCATCTGTCTCCACGATGACAGCTGGTCTCAGAAATTCCCTCATTTATTTGAAGTTGATTAAATAGCAATTAATGGTAAAAAGCAACACTTGATGAGTTTTAATAAGCATGGATATTTATAGATATAGAACAATACCACGCCAATGTCTCCTGATTAACTCATGCCTGTAACAAAGCTTCAGCTTCTCTTTCCGTGGCTGTGTGTTTATAAAGAATGTTTTGGAATTTAATTGGTATTGTGAAAAGATAGCCCATGGCAAGTTAATTAGACACTAATTAGACCCTAAAAATACTAATCAGAAATACTAAGTGGCATTTAATAAGTGTGTTAAATATCCTCCTTATTTCGGTTATCTTGTTTCATAGCAATTAAATTGTGAACTTGTTTGGAGTAGATTAAGAAACAAGTTGAATGTTTTAATTTAATTTAATTAATGTAAATTTGAATTAATTATGTTGTTAGAATTAATTGTGTGGTGTGTTCCCCAGCAAGTGTAAAATCTGGATAAATATTATTTTATTGGTTTTAGATCAATTACAAGCACTATCCCTTATTTTTGAAATAAAAGTAAAAGATGGTCTTTGTAGTTGACTTAAGACAAAAATCACAGGTATCAGGACTGATTGTGAGCATTGGAGATGTAAAGATAAATGTTTTGTAACAAAAGGAGGGGAGTGGTTGACTCTGCAGTCCAGGAGCGGAGGTCCCGGGGACCATCAAGAGAGAAGAGCAGAGTGTGGGACCTTACCCAGAGCAACAGTGACACCAGAGATGGAGGCAGAGACGATGACCTGGAGAGATGGAGCAGCTGGGGACTCTAGACCCAGAGAGGGACAGGGGCTGTGTGCTGATGATCGGGGGAGGCAGGCTTGCGGGGGATACCCTTTGGTTGTTTGATGATACATGGAGGGGATTGTAATCATGGCAATGAAATGATATACGATAGGATGAATGTCAACCTAATGTTCTCCCATGTAAATGATCATTTAATTTACAACAACAACAACAACAAATGACAGTATCACAGGGCCTTGTCCATAAGAAGGACCCAGAAGATGTGTACAAAGTAAAGAAAGAGAGTAATGTGGGCTTCATTATTTGGCAGTTCCGGGCTGAAAGCCCAAGATGGCAGGTGGGCTGTGGCTTCCTATGGTGGTCTCAAATGGCTACTTGGGTTGGTGCTTCTCCAGCTGCATCAGAGGAGAAGGCTTGGGGCCAAGAAGAACAGAGCTGCTTTCTGAACCTTTTATTGTCCTAGTAAGATTGGCTCTGGGCAGCTAGGGTATGGGTTCTCTCGCTCAAGACTACCATCTGTTGAGCTTTTACTGTGTGCTAAGTGCTTGGTTAAGCCCATCTCATGTAAGGACTTCAGTGGGGATTAAATGAGAATCACTGGTCTGTGCAGTTATAGAAAAGGAAACGGGTCTAGGAAAACCGAGGCCTTGGCACATGGACCCACCAGGAGTGAGCTCCCAAGACCCAGGGTACCCAGAAACTCAATGAGTGTTTCTTAGGGTTGGCCTTGACCCTTGTTAATTAGGGTCAGTGTTGGTAGACTGTATTAGATGGCTGGTGTTGGGTTCAAAGCAGACCTGACTTTCCTGAGTGTGGCTGGAGTGTGTGGCTGAGTGTACGCTGAGGGAGAGGCATCAGGACTTGGTTCTTGGTACGGGCAGCTCCACTCCTGAGAGCAGGGGCCAGGGCCCAACGCTGTCACTGAAAGATTCTGGGGGTGGTGCTAGGTGTGTGTGGAGACACGTGGCGGTCAGGGAGGTTTGGGATGGATGTACAGCCAGCATGGTGAGGAGGAAGGGCACTGTCTTGCAGTCAGCATGGTTACTCACTGTGAGACCCTAGGCAAGTCACACGACCTCTCTGAGCCTTAGTCTTTGTCGTTAGGTGCTTTTGAGTTGGCTCCGATGCATAACGACGCTACGTACAACAGACGGAAATGCTATACAGCCCTGTGACGTAGTGTCTTCTACCCCAAATCCAAACTCACTGCTGTCAGGTTGATTCTGACGCACAGTGACGTTACAGGACAGTCGAAGTGCCCCGTAGGGTTTCCATAGTGTAAGCTTTATGGAAACAGACTGCCTGATCTTGCTCCCACAGAAAGGCTAGTGGGTTCAAACAGCTGACCTTTGAGTTAGCAGGCAAACATTCAATCACTACATCACCGGGCCTTCTTTGTTGTTGCTGTTAAGTGCCGTCTAGTTGGTTCCGACTCATAGCGACCCTGTATAGGGTTTCCAAAGAGCATCTGGTGTGTTTGAACTGCCGACCTTGTGATTCTCAGTCTATTGCTAATCCTATAGTGCCACACCAGAAGTCCTTAGTCTATTGCTCTTGGTGTTGTAAAGTGTTGTTGAGTCGCTTCCGACTCATAGCGACCCTGTACAGGGTTTCCGAGGAGTGGCTGGTGAGCTTGAACTGCAGACCTTGTTGTTCAAACTGACCTCAGGGTCCAATGCTTATCCTACAGTGCTATGCCATGACTTTCTTAGTCTATGTTGTTGTTAAGTGCCGTCGAGTCGGTTCCTACCCACGGCGACCCTGCATAGGGTTTCCAAGGAGCAGCTGATGAGCTTGAACCACCAACCTTGAGGATCAAACTGACTTTGCAGTCCAGTTCATTAACTCAGACCACCACACCAGGACTCCATTCTATAGACTGGTCTATAGAGATGTATAGAGAAGGTAGTGTAACATCGAATCTACCTGGTGTGGCGCTGTGATAATGGGGGACGCATGTGACAATGGGGGTGGCATTCTCTATTGGAGCAAAGGATTTTCACAGACTGTTGACCAACACCAGAAAGTAAGAGAGACCCAGAAGGAGCCAACACGGCCGAGACACTGATTTGGACATTTAGCCTCCAGAACTGTGAGAAAATAAATTTCTGTTCTTTAAAGCCACCCCGTTGTTATGGCTGCAGAGGAGACAGAAAGGGAGGATATATTTTCTGTGCAATTATTATTTGCTTATATGAAACACGTGGGAGAAAGGAAAACACAATATCCAACATTGACAAAAAGAAATCAAACCTATGGGGCAGCAGGAAGATTTGGGGTTGCGGTTCATCTTTTCTGAATTGACTTTGCTTTGTAGATTTAATTCTGGAGCCATGTAAATATTCTCCATAATTATAGAACAAAATTAAATTAGAAAAAAATCAATCTGTAAGAATTGAACACAAAATGAAACAAATGACCCCAGCCAGGTACTGAATTAGTAGCATGATTATACAGAGAGATGATTTCAGAAGACTTTTAAAGTCCAATGATAGGACCGCCCGTTTCTATGGGGAGATCTACTGGGAATAAGTTAATTGTACACTCTTTTTGATAAACACAGTGTTGAGAACTGTGATTCTAAAGCTGGTGTATGTGTGTTGTGGTATTTACACAGATGAAGTAATAAAGCTGATGTTGCAGGAACTTGATTTTCACTATGAGGGAAAAGACATACAAAGGTCAATGGAATAATCACAAAGTTTATAGTCCTGATTGTAAATCTGCAGTAAGCATTTCATGTTTGAAAAACAACAACAAAAATCCTGTAGTTTTTAGCTGTCCATTGAAATCCTTGGGTGACAGAAGTGGTTTGCTATCTGTTGCTCACCAAAAGGCTGGCAGTTTCAATCCACCCGCTGTGGTCTGCTTACATAAAGATTACAGGCAAGAAAACCCTATGGAGCAGTTCTAATGAGTTGGAATGGATTCGACAACAGCAGTTTGGGTTTGTTGTTGTTGTTAAGTGTTGTTGAGTCGATTCCGACCCATAGCTACCCTGTATAGGGTTTCCAAGG